GATTTGCACATTTGAAGTTCAGGAGGCGGAACCGGCAAGAACTTTCCTTACAACCTGATATTATATCTTTGAAAACTGTAGCACTTGAATCTCACGAAGAGAATGACGACCGATTCGCCTAATAGTTCCTCACTAGATTCTCTTGTTCCCTACATTATCGCTGCTAATCTTTGACATATACTACCATTTGCTGGATGGTCGATATAAAACGATTCAGATACATTCCTCAGGAATAAGAAAAGTCTCCAGAAAACAAGTCTGTCTCGGGTAACATTTTGCCAACTCGGGTCTGTGCTTGGAAATGAAGGAGGGATGTTCTGGTTCAATATGTACGACGTGGAGACGCGAGTACGGCAATGGTCCAAATTCCAGAGGAAATTCAATTTACGAAATTCTCTTAGCTTCGTTTCCTCTCCATTTCTTCAATTTTTTTTATGTTGTACGGCTTTAAGTAGTGGCTGGTGCGGCAGTTGTGGACCAGGTTTATGAGGACTTTCGTCTAAGATTTGGGAAAGGAGAGCTCCGGACGAATGATTGGTTTCCTTTGTAAAAAAGGTCTCCGTTTTTCTTGAAACTGGTTCACCCACTCTCGCTAGCGTCTGCTACTTTGCACGGAATACTTTACTTCGATTCTGACGTTCTCTGGCTTGTCCTTCATGTCCCATAACAGAACCTGTAAATTTCATTTCTGATCGTTAGCGTTCCTGAATCATAAGCTATGGATGGAATTTATTATATATATACCTTCGGGGCCTGGCGCCGCATGCGGCATGATGCGCGCGCAACAACACAGATCTGTGGCGAATTTTGATGGTGCGACGAAAAATTTCAAATTTGGCTTGATACAATACGAATATCTGAATTCTCCGCTAAATTCTATGCGCTCTTTCTTCGTCAACCATTATCCTATTTTTCTCGGTCCTCGGCCCGGACAATAAATCTCTCGGCGGTTCCAACGGCTTAGCTCCGATTTTATTCCGTGGCGCATTAGTTGTTCGCCTTTATGCAGTGTGAGCTCGTGGCGAACTCCGTCTACTTCGTGCGTGGCCATGTCGTATCCAGGATTTAGCATTTGGCTCCCTTTTTCGCTTGGACTCTACGAGGGAAGGTCCCTTTTCAAAGAACCTGGTCTGGTGGACGTTCTGAGGACCACAATTACGACACTTCTTAGGGCAGCGCTCGCCTGCCCACTGTTACGGTGTCGGGTCCGCCGTCTGTGACCGGCAGTGGAATGGAGCAGTTGAGCTCGTTTTTCCGCTCACCGGAACCTGCTAAGCGGGGGCGGGTGATGCGGCCGTTTTCGCCCTATCGTCGCTGGAGGACCGTCTTTGCAACGAATTGCGAATAGCTTGGTTGTTGGAACAACTGCCGCGCGCACTTGCTCTGACGCCACTAATAGCAATTTGAGCGCTCGCTTTGCCGTTCGCTGAGGCGGACCTCTACCTGGTCTTGCCCCCTTGTGTTTCGCGCCAGCCTCCTGGACTTCTTGGGGCGGAGTTATGAATTTTCGCGTCGCAAACTCCGCCCACTTTGGTCATGTCCCTCCCACCATTGACAGCTGGCCTCCGCTCCTCCCTCCACCCACTCCTCCACCACCTCCATCCACCTTTTCCGCGGCCTCAGGGACTTCTTGGAGCCAAGTCATGAATTTTCGTCGCAAACTCCGCCCACTTTGGCCAAGCCCCGCCTACCACTGGCCTTTGACCTCCACTTTCCCACCCAACTATATCTTCTTTTTTCCCCACTCTCCGGGACCTTCTGGAACAGAGTTCTGAATTTTCGTCGCAAACTCCACCCACTTTGGTCAAGCTCCGCCCACCGATGACAGCTGGCCTCCACTCCTCCACCCACCTCCATCCACCTTTTCCCCAGCCTCCGGACTTCTTGGAGCCGAGTTATAAATTTTCGTCGCAAACTCCGCCCACTTTGGTCAGGCCCCGCCCACCAATGACAATTAACCTCCACTCCTCCACCCACCTCTATCCACCTTTTCCCCAGCCTCCGGAGCTTCATGGAGCCGAGTTATAAATTTTCGTCGCAAACTCCGCCCACTTTGGTCAGGCCCCGCCCACCAATGACAGCTAACCTCCACTCCTCCATACACCTCTATCCACCTTTTTCCGGCTCTTTAGGACTTCCCCGACCCGAATTATGAGGGCTTGTAGAAAATGCTGTACACTTCAGAGCGCGCCCCGCCCATTCTGGGCAGGCCTCCGCCCACGTCATGTATGCGGGAAACACCTTAGACATTGCTCCCTTACACCAATTTGTTTTCTGCTCTGTAGGCTTTCTCCCAACCGAGTTATGAAATTTTTCATAAAGCACTGCTTTTTTAGAGAACGCCCCGCCCACCGGGGGTGGGTCTCCCTAATTCGATGTGACTTACCAATGCACACCTTTACCCACTTTTTGGCCCAGTTTCGAGGTCGTTTTGTCACTGAAATCGAAATCTTGGTCTTCGGTACAATTCATTTCGACGCACGCCACGCCCTCTGTGGGCGGGGCTCCGCTTAGCTGATGTGTGTTTTGTATTACGTGAGACCCTGCCCACCCATCCCACACTTGACCCGGTCCCTCCAGGCGGATCCCGAGGAGCTAGGGAATTTCGTGACAGACATACAGAACGACAGACAGAGGGACAGAACGACAGACAGAGGACAGAACGACAGACGAAGCGCTTTATAGTAAGTAAGGATGGTCTTCGGGCCTGGCGTTAGCAATTGGCCAAATAAAAAAACCAATCAAATTCACAATGTCAATGCCATTACTGCTGCACATAGAACATCTCTACTACCCACTGCTAGAGTTTTAATACAGGCAAATCTTCCCTTCCTAATTATGCTAAAAGCCTGCCATTTTATTGTGTGTTGTAGTTAGAATTACAATTTTTTGTGTAAAAGTGCAACAATGAGTCGGCGCTGATCACAGCAAGCCAGTAAGGTGTCACATAGGTAAGTGTCAGTGATTTCTAAAATACTTTACATATCTTCAATTAATTCTTGAAAACCTTAGATACAAAACTTTTCCGACATCCAAAGGAATTTGGAATTGTTTCAACATAAGCTAAAAAAAAAGCAACTAAAAAGCTGTGCCAATTTCTTAAAAGTTTCCTACTTTCTTGAGTTTGATTTTTCGGAATAGGCTTCGCATTTGCTTATAATGATATTTATGTGCTCTCATGTTATAAACAACAGCTAGGAGAGTAATTTTTCCACAGAGAAAATTCAATCGAAAGGTTTAAGAAAATCTATTCCTATGACGGCAAATAATGGGCAAACGCTCTACGGAATTCTCAACGGTGAAGACCGAGTGATGCAATATGGGGTGGGGGGGGGGAAGGTGGTTAGAAGTGCTAGAGTCAGCAGTGAACCAAGCGGCGTAATCGGGACACTGGGAACCGTGACTCGCGCTTCTGTGTTCTTATGTAAGTTGAAGAAGTGCAGCGGGCGTTCCTTTAGACGAGTTCACCGGAGTTCACTGCACGTCAGCTATATTCCCACGCAAAGTAAAATGAGGTTTTATAGCGACAAGGATGTCTACCAGAAGGAGATGTGTAGACGGCGCAAAGGATTCCACCTCTTAATGCAAAATGCATTTACCATGTTACCTATGAAATACCGGTTTGGCATTTCGCACCCTTTCGTGTGCCTCACACTGAACAACAGTTGCCATCCAAATAGAGCCATCGATATGTTTATAATGTCCCCTGGCAAACACCGCCCATTTCGGTGCACGCCCTACCCACTAATAGCAGTAGACCTCCATTTATTCAGGCTCTATCCACTTCTCTCCCCTTTCCAGGACTTCTTGGAAATGGGATATGATGTTTCGTTAGCAAACTCCGCCACTTCGGTTCTTGCAGTCACCACCCACCAATAGAAAAACCTTTCTTTCCTCACGCAGCCTCTATCCACTTTCTGCAGTCCATGTGATTTCTCAGTACCGAAATAAAAGGATTTGTATAAGTACTAAACTAACGCCCACTCAAGGAAACTCCGCGCCCGCTTGGGCGGTCTTCAGCTTAGTTCAGATACACTGAAAACACCTTAGTTATTGCTCCTACAGCGATTTTTTTGCTCCATGAGCCTCCTCCTAGCCGAGTCATGACTTTTTTATCATGTAGCCCGTATGAAAAACGTCCCGTCCACCACGAACAGGCCTTTTTGCTCGTTTTATAACTCAGTGCGCCCTTGAATTTTAGAATTCACACCACAACTTCTTTTTGAATGGTATTTTTTCAAGAAAGAAGTTGTGATCGTTGTAAGGTGACAAATTGATGAAAAGTATCTCACTGCGGTACTCGGGTGGATTTCTAAACGATGGCCGTTTTTGATGTATAATTTTTTCAATTATGTTGTCCAATAGTTTGTGGAGAAAAAAATTTTTTTTTTTATTTTTCTTTCTACTTCCGTGCCTTAATTGTTTCCCATTTGGATGGTAAATGTGATGATGCTTAAGCCCCTAAAAGAATAAAAACTCGCACGCCCGAAAAATTTTCCTTACTGACCCCTAGTGAGTACTCCCTTTCCTGTATGAGTTCAATATTCATTGGAAGCTTTAAGTCGAGGAATCTCCAGATCTTTTTGTAGGAAATTGAGTAAATGTTTTTTTTACTTTGTTCTTTTTGAAAAAAAGTCATAGCCATTTGAAGTCGGTGTCGATTCAAGTCAAGTCAACCAAGTATACGGGATGTAGTAGCAGCCATGCTATGTATTATCTCTTATATGTGCAGTCCTGTACGCACAAAATGGCAGTGCCTAGCAAGCTTCGTTACGTGGAGGAGGTACATATCGTATTTGAAAATTTCCCTCAGCCCCTCACTTGACGCTGTTAATGTGAAGCAAAGGGTTTGCTTACAATTCCTTTCCTTTGATAACAACTGCATCACCAACTGCAGCGAAAAATAGCAGTTGACAAAGCAGGGAACCAAAACCTAAAAAATTGCTGCGGCTCACTCATTGAAGTCACTAATTTCAGGCTTATATACTGAAAACCATGGGATGACAGCCGATTATATGTGGGATAAAGAGTCAAAGCTAAGCTTCGAACGTGGCAAAGGTAAGTGACAAGCGATATGTTGAGCATTTTTTATTCTATATTACATAACATAACACTACCTTGCAATACCATTTCGGCACGATTATATGTACTACTACAGGCTCAGACGCCTGCAGCAGAACAACCCGAGGGAAATCGAAAAAAAGACCCCCTCCGAAACTTTTCCTATGTTACTACATTTATCACATGCCCGCCATGGCACATGCGAGAAAAAAAAACTAATCCACCACAAACAACAATTCCGATCATTACGTTTCCACCGAATTTTCTGGAAATACTGTGTTGCCAAATTGAAACTGGAACCTACTTCATGAACTGACGGCATCTTTGCACTAACAAGGAAGGTCTTTCAGGGTGTGCCAAGCTTTTTGAAAACGGTCTTTTGCATGATATAGGGGCACATGCGGGAACCACAGAACCATGGTTAATTTTTCCTGAACGGCATGAATTTGGTACTAATTATTCATGCTAACTCCATTTTGCGCGAATTTGGAAACGTCAACTCGAAATGCAAAAATTTGTCACCACGAGGAATCGAACTAGGGACCCCTTTTCTGGTATTCAGAGGGCCGTTCAGGAAAAATGAACCATGCTTCTGTGGTCCCCATATGTGCCCCAATGTCATGCAAGAAACCATTTTGAAAAAGCTTGGCACACCCTGAACGACCTCCCTTGTAAGGGCACTGAACAGCCTTTAGGCCAAGTTTTGTAGAAATTTGTTTGACCCTTATTGGAATACCGCGCTTACGGGCATCTGTGGGTGTGATATTGCAATATTCCCATTTCTGCGTAACTTGTCTATGTTGCCTTTTTTTACCTTTTTCTCTCTTTGTGTCTTGTTAGGATTTGCTCAGAGATTGACCAATCTTTCAACGTATTTGTCCAACATGCTTGTGTTAAGGTTCGAGTGGGAACGACACGGATGACCTATGGTGGGAAGGCCTACCAGCGCCCCTATGGTACACAGCCGGCAAGTCGGGCATAGATGTACACTGCTACTGGTTCGCTCATTGTCATGTAAGTGGATGCATAGCAAGTTTCATAAGAAGTTGCCCTTTCAGATTGTAAACAAAACCATATGTTATCCAAAGTCACATGAAGATAATAAGCAATCATATGTATGTCTGCGCCCGTTAGTAACTATGACCGATTGTTTTGCACCCTGAATATTGCGGGCTCACCCATGACAGAAAACGAGTATTTCTGAATCGCAAGGGGTTTCTCAGAACCTTTCTCCCAAAAAGCCAGCACTATGTCGCGCGTCCGGTGGTGCATCGTAGGGAAACTGAAGATCCTGTTGTTCCGATTGTTCAGTGTGGTGGGCATAGCAACACGTGGGAGTCCTGAAGCCAAACAGCACTGCCCATTGCCCAATCCTTCAAGAAGCCAGACACTGATGTGCAGGTGTCACGTATGGCCAGCATATCTAGTGTGTTCTATACATTGCCGTGCAAATTTGAGCAACCTGAAATTCAAGCAGAATGTTGATCCATATTTTACGCATATGTGCTGGCACGGCGTGCATAGTGCTGCACTTTTGAGAGCTGACCCTTCTTGTTTTAGCGTATTGCATGTAAATGCTTTTAGCCGTTTTCGCGTTATTTAGTTAACCTATGAGAAGGTAAGGGCACTAGAGGGACACCTGAAAACTCATAAGCATCGAAATTGAGACAAGGTTCCAGCTCTTTGAAGTTACGGTACATGGGTTACATTAATGAGCACAAAGTGCCTTTCCCACGCACAGTATAACTGTTTTTCGAATAAAAAATGCTGCTTCCCCAAAATATGCTCTGGGGCCGTATGCTGTGCTCCTCCAACAAGGCAGGGGGGCCCCGTTGGGGGAGCTCCCCGGCTGCGGCCGCCCCGAAAGCGGTCGTATGCTATGCTCGCGGGGCTCCCCAGGGGATGCAGACATGCAGAGTATCCATGGCGCGAAGAACTTGGCATCTTGCCAGACATTAGTTTTTTACTTTAAGTTTAAGCTTGGAAGGCTACCACATAATTATAAAGTTTTAGGGTATTTGCAGGATAGGATA